GTGATTTTCACACCTTTTACAAAAAATACATAAAGCACAAGTCAAGAATTTTAATCCATTTTTGGTCATTTTGTGACCATTTTGCATGGGTTATAGCCCATGGTTTGCATGGATTTGGGGTGATTTTCACACCTTTTACAAAAAACACAAGATGTCCAAGTGATGGATTTTTATTCATTTTTGGCCATTTTGCATGGGTTGTATCCCATGGTTTGCATGGATTTGGGGGTGATTTTCACACCTTTTATGAAAAACAGATAATATAGCCCATGGTCATAGCCCATGGTTTGTTTGGATTCGGAGTGATTTTCACACCTTTTAAAAAAAACACATATTAATGTACAAGTGATGAATGTTTCGTCTTTTTGACCAGTTTGCATGGGTTATAGCCCATGGTTTGGTTGGATTTGGGGTGATTTTCACACCTTTCACATAAAACACATAATGTACAAGTGATGAATGTTTCGTCTTTTTGACCAGTTTGCATGGGTTATAGCCCATGGTTTGGATGGATCGATGTCTACAAAGACTTTGATGTATAAAAGAATTAGAAAGGACTTGTTTTGAATGTTTAATAGAATCCTTTTTATTGTAACTTTAATGTACAGGCGTCTGTTTTGTTATAATGCATGCTTCATATTTCTTCCATATCGACATGGAAACACTGTAGTTGAAGCGCCATTTTCCTCTTAAACGATGTCATCAATGCGTCAATCAACCTTGAGGGGAAAACGTTTTGTTGTATGATTAGTATATAGATGGATTGAAGTATGTACAATAGACTACGTGTCTTGTCTTACGAGGCTTAAAGATGGAATGGTACTTATTTTTGGTGAATAAATGTGATTAGAGTGCACACCATATATCAGTGATTTTTTTTAACCCGTGAAAATATGGTATGCATAATAGCTTGTAGTAGACTGTCTTTTTATTTTATTTGTTTGTCAACTAGTACTAACTAAATAGTCATTTTTCTTTCAAGGGGTAAATAAACTGATTGCGGTAACAAACTTGTCTAAATCAGTGCAAAGTTTTGTAGGTCTACGGTCTACTTAGCTCTACTGAACTTACTAATTTGTGCAAATTTGTGCATTTCTTACAAAGTTTCCTGACGAAGGCTATTACAAGCATATCCGAAACATTATTCATTTTTGTTTAAATAAGCAAACAAACATAAAACAACAAAATAAAACAACAAACACACACATATAGCAACAAAAAGAGATAACTAGCTAAAAACTAGTGTGAGCTGCGTCGGTGTTTCTAATGAAACAGTAATGATAAAAGGGTAAATTTTACACCGTAAAAGGATGAAAAAACTTACTGATGTTTCGATCGCTAGTCCTTCGTCGGAGGACTAGCGTTCGAAACGTCAGTAAGTTTTTCTCATCTTTTCACACTGTATAATTTACCCTTTTATCATTACGTAAAGCAACGACTTACTTTCGGTCGGAATCCTTGGTCAGCGGTGGAACAAGCTCGAGTGCCTCTGTGAAAGCGGTCCTGGAAGCAAACACAGTTTAGTCAATATTATGCTGACCTCTATGGGTGCAGACGCTGCTAATCTACTGCGTGTCAACCTTAAAGGCGAGGGATGGAATTCTTAACCCCTCGTTAGAGTCCAGTGAGAAAACAAGAGACAGTTATTCTTTCTCTCAGACAATGTCTCTCGTTTTCTCACTGGAGATGACTTCCGCTCAGGTTGTCGAAACATCAGTCACCACCAACAACAGTCTGTCACAAGACTACACTCGCCCAGACGATCACACTTCAAAACAAAATTCAACACCTGGGTTCAAAACATTTACTCGTATGGTTGTCGTTTTCTTCTGTGATTGAAGGGATTTCCTTTCCGGGTTCTACTTTTTCTCCCTCAGCAAAAATAAATTCAATCACAAATCGAACGCTTCGGACATGAGCCTCACCAACTGGAGTGAGATGAACTAAGCTTCGTATGCAAATTGCCCATTTCAGATCACGTGACATTCAAATGAGAATTGTTCTTTTGTGACGAACTTGTTATAATATTTACACATGAAAGAATAAACACCCAAGAGTGGCATCACATGGTCTGAAATATACAACAAACAACGAAGGTCAAGAGATCTATTCTTCGTAAAGTAATCATCTGACAATTGTTACCTGGCATCTGGAGTGATGTACGCCATAAGTGCCTGCTGAAAGGCTATAGCTTCCAAATGAGCCTACAAAGATAAAGATCATTAGTCATTAGTCATTCAAGGTTGACGAAAAGACTGGGTGGAGCTGGATTTGCAGTGTATTTCGGGACTGTTTTAGATGACGAATAGATCCCTTGGGGGATCCCGAGGGGAAATGTTCAGGGGAACAAAACAATGGATTTTTTTTTCGCATAAGAAAAGATGGCCTATTGTTTTGTCCTACAGAACAATTCCTCTAGGAAATCAATGCAAGGGGGTCTATTAGACGCCATCTTGGAAATATGTCCCATAAAACAGTCCCAAAATGCACTGAAATGCCAACTCGACCCAGTCTTTTCCTCAACCTTGGAATGGCTATTGAGACCTTTATCGACTGAGTGAAATGTTTTACTACTCCAGTCCACGTGTCATTCCCTTGAGAATCATTCCTCTATTTACTAGCACTTGAGAAGATAGACGAATGGATGTGACGCAAGTAAAAAATAAGGAATAACAAGTGGTCTGAAAGGTTAAAGTGTCAGAAAAGAGCGGAAAGCATTAGGCTCGCAGACTTCCTTGACGATGATCATATCATAGGCATTTCAAAGTCATATGAAAACAAAATTTTTATTCGAACTCATAAATATTCTACACAAAAACAGGGCTAATCTCGAAACTGGAGTATAAAGGCTTTGCATCATGACGTGATGGCAGCCATGACAGGAGGCACAACAATAAGGTCTTTTTCCCCTGGGAAACTGAGTTCTTTCTCATGTAAATCAAATTAGACCCGATTCGATTTTTCCTGCCTCCTGTCATGGCTGCCATCACGTGATGTTCATGCAAAGCATCTATTCTATATTCTAAAACTCAAATTATATTAATTCACATACCGTAACAGCCCCAGCAGACATGAAGTTTCTTTTACTACCACTGGCTTTCTGAAGTATCCTCTTGAACTCGTCCGCCAGGAGATCAGTGAGACGAGACAGGACTAGAGCCAAGAGATCACTGGATACAGAGAACACCTGGGCATGAACCAACACAAGGTTCATTAAAATCTCCTTCACGTAGTTACGGACATCTGGAAAGAATCCAAGCAGTGAAATATTAGTAATCTAATAATAAAGGGACAGCCGTATCGTGATATATATACTACTGTGGCCATCATATCATCAGGGGGCAGACCGTGATATACTGACCATCATACCGTGGTATATCGTCCTACCCAGGCTATTATAAGGGGGCAGACAGCCATACCGTGATATACTGACCATCATACCGTGGTATATCGTCCTACCCAGGCTATCATAAGGGGGCAGACAGCCATACCGTGATATACTGACCATCATACCGTGGTATATCACTTACTTACCATTAGGGGGCAGACAGTCATACCGTGATATACTGACCATTATACCGTGGTAAATCCCCTACTTACCATTAGGGGGTAGACAGTCATACCGCGATATACTGACCATCATACCGTGGTATATCGTCCTACCTATCATAAGGGGGCAGACAGTCGTACCGTGATATACTGACCATCATACCGTAGTTTATCACTTACTTACCATTAGGGGGTAGACAGTCATACCGCGATATACTGACCATCATACTGTGGTGTATCACTTACTTACCATTAGGGGGCAGACAGTCATACCATCTGAAGTCCCCTGCTGTTATTCCAGGTTCCAGGCTCCCTACGAGTGAATCCGCTTTTTGTTTAATGTACGCATCGAATATATTTTTCTCGAGATGTGTGAGCTCCGACTGTAAAGACTGTAGAACACAAGATAAGAGGATAAGAAGATTAGAGATTTGAGCTCTTTTGAATCGCTGCGTTGGTCAATTACTCGGGATTAGCCTCATTTCAGTATCTAAATATCCACAAATACCAACGGTAAAGTAAAGAATGCACAACTTCAACAATACAAACACTTTGAAATCCCATGGACTTTAGCGGACACAAATATTCACAAAATGGAGGCTTACCGTGAAAAACAAAAAACAAAAAAAAWCAAAAATGAATTATAGAGTTGTTAAGTGTATTGGTCCAAAATAAATAGCAGTTCTGTAAGACTCCATTTGTTTCAAAATAGGATTTGCATTTCCGAATCTAAAACTGCCTGTCATAGGAGCAGCATACGTTTTGGAACACGTCTGGGTAACTTTTAATAAGCATTTGGACCTGGAAATACGTCACAGCTCTAGAAACATTAGCTTTAATAGACAAGTTCATGAACGGAACATTTTCTTTTTATGGGTTACCTGTGTCAGCTTATCACTCATCGGATACTTCTGATTCTTAAAGCTTTCTACCAGCTTTGTAAGAACTTTTTCCCTGACGTATCGACAGTTGTTTAGAACGATGAGCAATCTCTCGTCCTGAAAAAACAACAACACAATTATATTGGAGTGATATTCGATGATGGTCTGCCGTTTCTCTAGGGCGGATTAACAGGTCACGGGTTCAGGAAAAACTGCCATGCCATATTTGGTACTTACTGTTACAGGAATGTTATCGTCCAATGAGTACGTGGATCGATCTATTCTTTCATCTGATTGGCTGGATCTAGAGTGTATAAATATGTAGAGTCATGCTGATGAAACTATTATGTAAGATGCTGTCTCTGTTGTTTCCAAGACACAAAATTGGTTGCACCCAGAGATCCACATGCAAAGCAGATTTAGAGGGATGAAGGTGGGTGGGGGGGGG